ACGGGTAACGTGACTCACCACCTATTGTGGCGGACGTAAAGCTTGCGATAACAGAATTTTCTGCCACCCCCTGAAAAATAGTAGCAAAACACCGCAGAAATAACCAAAATATCCACGTCTAAAATCATTCAAATATCATCCAATCCATTCAAATACGCACCTTTATCATCAAATCTGCCAATATGCCCCCCCAGCTCAGCGAATTTACCACCAATGAGATCGTACGCCTTCTAAATGATGGTTATATGCCTGCTCAGATTGCGCGGACCATTGAGTGCAGTCTGGCCACTGTATATCGAATCCAACGAAATATTCGCTGCTTTGGAACTGCTAGAAGTCCTCGTTCAACATGGGGTGTAAAGCCAAAGATCACACCGGATATCTTGTCAGGTTTGGAGGACTTTTTTGAGGCATATTCAACTGCATATCGCGATGAGGCTGTCTGCTTTGTGAAGGATGAATTTGATGTTGATATCCACCCTCGATCGATATCTAGATTGTTGAAGAAACTGAATTTGACATGGAAGAAGGTGATTAATTATTGCAATTGTCACTTATAGAACCTGCTAATCTGTCAGTTCTATTTGATATAGGTTGAACCTGTGGCCAGTCAACGCAACGAAGAACTTCGAGCTGAATGGCGTATTCAAGTTACTCAGTATCAACCTGATCAACTTATCTTTTTAGATGAGAGTGCTGCGAATGAACGTACTGCAGATCGACGATATGGATGGTCAAGCAGAGGATTCCCTTGTCGCATTAGAAGGCCCTGTAAACGATCTCGCAGATGGTCAATCTTACCTGCAATAAGTGTCGATGGATATCTTGATTATGATATATATCAGGGGTCCTATAATACAGAGAGGTTCAATGAGTTTGTACGTGTCCGGATACTGCCCAAATGCCAACGAGGTTATCACTACTTAGTGATGGATAATTGCTCTTCTCATCGTTCACAAGCACTGCGAGATCTCTGCAGAGAAGCTGGCATTGGACTTTTATTCTTACCTCCATATTCTCCTGATTATAATCCTATAGAGGAGTCATTTCACGCGTTGAAAGAATGGATTAGAAGATACAGATGTCAGTTAGAGAATCAGTTTGATGGAGATTTTGAAGCCTTCTTGCATCATGCAGTTGAGAATTTCATGGGAGAAGAAGATGCAAGAGGATATTTCAGATCGGCTCATATAGGATAGTATTGTAAAATTTAAAAAGATTCAGATTACAATTCAATTATGATGATATATAATATCTAAGTTTCAAATTCAGAAGCAGAAGCAGTATGAAGTCTGCTGTCATCATTACAAACAGCAGATAAAGACAATTTAATCTCCTTCAACTGTGACTGCCAGATAGAACTCTTTAACCCATTTCTTATTATCGAGAATATACCCATTCCAATATTCAACTGAACCACCTGCTCATTTGTCATTGTCCGTATATGATCCAGTTCAAATCCTTCATTCTGAATAATGCTCTTTGCAGTTAAAAGAGCTTCTGCTCTTCGAGGTCTCTCTGTCATCAACCAGTTGAAGAACTCATCAATAAACAGATCCGCGTGTTCACCAAACTGAGGGATTGGACTACTTCGAATAGGAGGCAGGTTCGGATTCGATGGCAGGTTCGGATTCAATGGCAGGTTCGGATTCGATGGCAGGTTCGGATTCGATGGCAGGTTCGGATTCGATGGCAAGTTTGAATTTGATGGCAAGTTTGAATTCGATGACAAGTTTGAATTCAGTCCTCCCATGCCTCCCATTCCTTCCATCATATATTTCATCACCATCACATTGATTATCTCACTTGGAGACACAATATTAGATGAAGAAGGAGTTGAGGGAGATATTGGATACGATAGAAGCTGACAGTCATATCATTTGTTGTGACATTCCGTAACTTGATCTTTATAGGCTCCTTTATCCCATTGATAATCACCCGTTCATACAGCTGAATGAGATCTCAGGCTCAGGGGTAGGTGTTCGCAGAAATCGAGGATCTTCTGACTGTGTCTCCTCCTCCTCCTCCTCCTCCTCCTCCTCCTCCTCCTCCTCCTTATCCTCCTTCTCATCATCAGTTGGATTCTCGTCATTATCCGGAACATCCGGAACAGGCGGTTTGGACAGACGAAGGCGCAGGGTAGTTGGAGTCCTTTTACGAGCTTGCGAGGCAGTAGAACGGTGGGTGTTGCGGGGCATATTGGCAGATTTGATGATAAAGATGCGTATTTGATGATAAAGGTGTGTATTTGAATGAATTGAATGATATTTGAATGATTCTAGAGATATGTGGATATTTTGATTATTTTTGCGGTGTTGTTCTACTATTTTTCAGGGGGTGGCAGAAAATTCTGTTTTCGCAAGCTTTACGTCCGCCACAATAACGAACTCATCCACCCAACGAACTCCTATTTTTTCCATGAATCCCTGCAACTCTTCAACTTCAACCACCCACCATGCCACCCAACGAAGCAATTATAGAGCAAGCGATCGCTCAATTGAATCGACAATTGATTCCTAAATATGCTGAGGTTGCAAAGGAATTCGGAATCAATCGCGTTACCTTGATGCGGCGGTTCAAAGGTCAACAGGTCTCCAGAACAGAGGCAACATCAATCTACTGTCAGAATCTCACGAATACTGAAGAACAATGCCTCCTATTTCATATTAATCAGTTATCCAATCACGGCTTCCCTGTGACACCTCAAATACTGCGCAATTTTGTATTAGAGATCACCAAAATGCAAGTAGGAATCAACTGGGTGTCTCGCTTTTGTGAGCGGCATAAAGCAAAGATCAAGAGCATCTATCTTCGTGCTCTGGATCAAAAGAGAAAGCAGGCAGATAATAGCTACTATTTTGAACACTTCTTTACTCTTGTAATTGCAGTTTTTTTGCTTCTTTTCGTGTGCAATTCCATGAGCTTTTTGCTGACTTCTATTGAATAGTTGCAGGAGAAGATCAAGCAGTATAATATCCTACCTCAGAACACCTACAATTTCGATGAAAAAGGCTTTCTTCTTGACCTCCTTCATACCCTCAAGCGAATCGTTTCTATAGAAGCTCTCAAACGGAAGCATACAATTGGAGCAGTGCAGAATGGCAGTAGAGAATTCATTTCTCTACTTGCTGGTATTTGTACAGATGGAACTACAATTCCACCTGCACTCATTTACCGCGGGGAATCAAGAGATATGCAAGATACGTGGCTTGAAGATTTTGATCCTAAAAAGGATCAGGCATACTTCGCTGCTTCAGAAAATGGATGGAGTAATGATGAATATGGGTTAACCTGGCTGAAACAGGTGTTTGATCCTCATACAAAGCAAAAAGCAAGAAATCATTACCGCCTGCTTATATTAGATGGCCATTCATCTCATATAAATATGGCATTCATTGATTATGCGGATCAGAATCGAATTTTGCTTGCTATTCTTCCTCCCCACTCTACACACCGTTTACAGCCGCTAGATGTTGGAATATATGGCCCACTTGCAAAGGCATATTCAGATCAACTAGATTCCTATACACGTTCTGGCTATGGCTTTATTCGGACTACAAAGCGAGATTTTTGGCGATTATTTCGTGCTGCATGGGAAATCTCTACAACTGCGGAAAATATCAAATCTGCCTTCATGGCCACTGGCATACATCCTATAGATCCTGCCCGCGTTCTCAAAAAGATTCAACCACGTCCACTTACACCCCCGGAACTGCTTCAGCAGCGTACACCTACATCTATATGAGCTTTGCGAGGTCTGATAAAGCAGGCAAGTCAACGTCACCGCCGACTTTCAGTTGATATTAAAAAAATTCTCCGTGCTGGGGAGAATATTGCTCTGGACAGAGAGGTTCTCTTAATAGAGAATAAGAATCTTCAGACTGCTCTAAATAATGAGAGAAGGCGACGCAAACGGGGTAAGTGTATGGGGTTGCTTAATCCATCAAATCCCTCACTTGCTCAATTCTTTTCTCCCACAAAGGTGCAGGCCGCGAGGGAGCAAGCAGATGCTAATGAAACTGCGAAAATCGATGATCAGGCACGCAAGGAGGATATGAAGCTTCAACAAGCGATTCTTCATGAGCAAAAGCAGGCAGAGCTCATGGAGCGGAAGGAACAATGTGAGAAGGAATGTTTAGAAGCTGCTCAACACCATGAGGAGGCCAAAGCTGCAGCTGCAGCTAAACATTGTATAGAGAAGCAACGGTGAGATGAACAGAAGCTTCAACTGCAAAAAGAGAAGGAAGAACATGCTGCTAAACATCATGAAGCACAGTTGGCAAAGAAGGCACTCACGGAGGCCTCAAAGAGGCCTACAAGAAGATCAACAGTGGGCTCAAAACACCGTAGAAGCTCTATACAACCTTCTAAAAGCGGTAATAAGTGCCGCACGCAGGCCCCCCCAGTGGAATCAAATGATATTCCTTCTCTGAAACCTTCTACGCCGCGATCCGATTCAACCGTTTCAAAACCACGAGTTCAACGTTCCGGGCGGATTATTAGGCCAAGCAATCGTTCTCTGAATTAATCATGTATATTTATATGATGTATTCTACATATAGTTTTAATCTTTAATAAATAATATTAATATCTTCTTGCATTGTTGTGCTACAGTTGAAAATTAACGGCTCTATAGAGCGCTTTTTGGAGTTCGTTGGGTGGATGAGTTCGTTGGGTGGTGAGTCACGTTAATGGTAAATAGTAAATCCGGACCGGCGCTGTTGCACACCTCGCATAGGACGCTTAGCACCCAGTTTTCTTTTTCCCAAGCTACCTACTAACCCGGCCTTTTCGCAGGAAGAAACAAATCCGCGCTATTCACAAATCAGACCACGAATGAACCAGCGGCGGTCGATCTATCATCTACTGATTGCATCCCAGGCATAAGGAATAGTACCGCTTTCATGAGCATGGACATTGCTATTGCAAGTCAACCCTTTTGGCTGACAATTTGCCAATCGGGTGCGACACAGCTACAATATGTTGTTGTAGCTTGCGATGCCTTACAACAATACATGCATCTTGTCTCAGTCGATCTAGGTCCATTGCATCCTGGATGATTGCGTCCAAACCAGGGGACTAGATGGATGCGGATTTACTACACAGAGTAGAAGATGACAAGCTTCCTTCAACAGCTTCTCAAATCGACATCATGTCAACAAGATCAACACCTGCGGCACAGGGTTGTGCATCCCTAAATGGGGAGAATGACGGCAAGCTCCTCCCATATCCACGTTATCCAGCGAAAGGGGGAGATGATGAAAGTTAGGTACCAGAGGTGTACTCGCATCTAGAAATGTGAGGACACTGTTCGACTTGACTTTTGTGCGGTGTCCAGTACAACAACATAAAAGAAGGGCAAGATTCGCTCCGAAGCCCACGAAATTCCTAGCTTTACAAACCCAATTCCTCATCCCAATTGAGGAACACTTACCGTACATCATCGCTCCAAACCGTCGCACATAATCCCATCCGTTTAGGAAACCACACCACCTATTCCAGAATGAACGCATTCAACAGTGCTGGCTCTTTGCCAATCCACACTACCTCATCCCAGATCTCCATTGTGGACGCCCCCTTTCCCGGCTTCAACAGCATCTCGGCGTCGGTACAGCAGCTCCTAGCTGGTCTCTTGTTTCTGAATACACAGAAAGTTCCCTTTAATGTTTTTGCTTTTTCTCACTCTCCCCTTTCGCCCCTCTCGCGCCTCTCGCCGCTCTCACCGCTATCACCTCTATCGCCACTATCGCCACGTTGTAATGACCTTGAGGCTCCTACAGATTCAAATACAGATGGCCCAATAGGGCACGGGTCGAATAATCCCACTCCCAAACTCTATTTCTCCCTCAAAACCAGCTGTCACCCGAGTCCCCAGTATCCACATACAATCGATTAAAAACTCGTAGCCCAGCGGATTCGAGATCCTGGACAACCACAGCTCACAGGGTTGAATAGCACAATGAAACGGGAAGTGATTCGAACACCTCCAAATGGAGCGAAACGTGCATGATATCTCTTTATTTCATCGTCGTCATATGACCACGTCTGAAAGAGCTGATTGAATGAAACAGGCGAAAACATCTACTCAAATTTGGGCTTTCTGTTTCTTCCACCTTTTTGCTAAGTTCCTCTTGCGTATGTCTCCAAATAGAATAGGACTTACGCTCTAAGGATCATCGCTGTGATGATGTGTCAGATTGATGTATCGCCTCCTGCCGAAACCGCTCCATTCATCCCTGCGTAAAACATTTTGATTGCGTGATGACCAGTCCGATTAAAAATGGCGATTCATAAAAGGAAGAGGAATATATCCTATATCCGGGAGACGGGTGTAAGTTCGCCGAGCTACGGAGATACGAGTTTACAAATTCATCACCATCAACCTCAGCTTCTGAGTAGCACTCGAGGCAATTCGTGTCCTTTATTGATTTTAACCTTAACCCGTAGTTATACCATGGACCAACACACCACAGACAATTGGATCGCAGTTTTAGGAATGCATGTTGCCTGTCATGGTGGTGGTGGCGTAGTTGACATCAAGCTTTTACCTCCACGAGGCTTGCATCGGCGAGGTTGAGCCTAACAACCAGTTACATTGTCGTTCGTTCTTAAGAACCCGAGTTGCGTACTCTTCTACGGAGTATACCACTTAACTATTCCCTACCTCCCCCACTCACTTGGACCCAAATAGGGAGAAAAATATGGCTCAATCATATTTAAGAAATCGCCCCTCCGTCGCCGGAGTGCAAGTAAAGGCAAAAAGTTTGGCATCCGACATGGGAAGTGCAAGACTACTTGGTACCAGTAGCTGACCGAGAAGAATGCGCAACGAACTACTAATAGTCCAAATTCCTGATGCAAGGGGAAAAAAAAAAAAAAAAAAAAAAAAAAAAAAAAAAAAATTCCCCAACGAAAAGCAAGTTACTAGTATGTATGTGTTCGGGACGCAAGACAGCTCCGCTTTCATACGCTTTCCAACAACCCCGCCGTATACGTCTACCCCCACCCATATCTCCCCCGAGGATGAAGTGGATGATATGCAAATGGACAGCTCAAATATTCATCTACCACCTCCCTTGCCAGTGTGTGTAAGACGGTGACCATTTGTATATCCCCCGGGTACATCAATTCCCCAAAATGCTCGCTGCTGTGTGTGAAACACTCAAAAGAATTGCATGGCAACATGGAGTTACAGTATTTCAAAAGAAACGTGGCCAAATGACACAACGCTCTTACTATAAGGTAGTGATTGAGCTCTCCGTCTGGCCCTGCTAACAATCGATCGATTGGGTTACGCGATTCCAACTCTCAATTGGTCAGGTAGTAGTACTCGTAGCTTCCAGCTTCTGGGTTTGTAAACCGTCGAGTAAATCCATCCTCTTCAAACACTCCTAGAGTGGAAATGGGTGAAATTGACGAGTTGCGCCTAAATCTGTCTTAGCATGGGTCACAGGCAAGACATCATCTTCCACCACGGCTGCTGGTGCGGTCGTTGCAGTTACGGTATTGAGAAGAAATCCGCCGACAGATATCAAATTGCAAACCAGAAAACTCGCATTTCAAGCTTGATCTCAATCGCTCGAAAGCAAGAACAGTCGGTTTGGAGAGTGAAATTTGACCGAACTATAGTTTGATGACCAAGCTGTGGATAAATGTACTGAGTAGTACAACGAAGACAAAAGCCCTCTGGGCATACGTTGATGAAAGAATGAGTGCTTGAAGTCATGCTGAAGTATGCGATGATTACTAGTACTATAGAAATATAGAAATATAGCGACAAGGTCATGGAACCAGAAGTCCAGAGGCCTGAATTGAAATGCCAACGGAGAACTGCATGGAGCTTCGACCCCGAAATTCTAGCTGGCTCTTTTTTTTTTTTTTTTTTTGGTAGATCTATAATGGTGTTAGCTTTTGTACGCCTCAAGATCGACCATTATCAAAACCTTATCGATAGCTGGTTAGTCGAATCGGCGAAGGCGACGGCGACGACGATCAACAAAGCAGCTTCACATCCTGGAGTTCATCGTGATGTGATGCGAGGATGGCGATGTCGGTTGTAGTAAGGAGAGGAAATAGGTAAATCTTCAAATGACCTAGTTAACTTTCTCCTCTGGATGATGCTGGAAATCAGCGACCTTCCACTCAAATATTGCGCTGGATGTAATTCTTGAGGGAACATATAAATTTTTCAGATCAGATTGCAACATCAAAGCATGAAAAAGTCATAAAATCTTTGAATAAATAACTTCATCAATTTCTAGTACTTTAATATAGAATTTGAATATATAGTAAAAACTGATGAAGCTACAATAAAATATAATATATCAATAAAGTCTATTTTCAAATTTGAAAAAAAAAGAATTATATATTCCATCAGTCTTGACAGCATTTTGTACAAACATTACATCCAGTAATCTCTGACTGGATGCAGAAGGGCAAAAATATTATATGTTTATGCCAGTCATGAACCTGGCTAGGCTAGGCACTCAGCTGAAACTGCATGAAGCGCTGCGGCTCTCATGTGCCCTCGCATATGACTGTGGCTTTAAACCCACATTGCAAGCAACAAACATGAACGTAGGAGACATGATATTGATGTGCAGACTAAACATCCTCAATCTCTCGGCATATCCTGGCTGAGCTGAAAAACACACTAGGGTGGTAGGTTAGCGCCGTTAGCGTTCTTTAAGCTATGGCAAGGATCGCATGGCCACCCTGTCCCATTGGACTCATATATTCCCAATAAAAATCATGAACTGCTTCGCGGAATTATGATCTCTTGATATGTGTGTGCTGTCATTGCCACAACCGGGATTAGAAAACTTTGCATCCTTTCTTTGTGGCAGTGAGATCTGATGTCTTCAGAAAATGAAGCAGATATTGTTTTTGCCTCTGGAAATGCATTGATGACCCCCCCTCCAAAGAGGTCCAGGAATCTTGCTCTTCAACCACCGTTGCTGAGTACGAGCTCATGAATATGTCTTGATCCGTTCCTTCTGAATGGTGGTATAATTAGTAGCCATATATATTGTACCTTGGAAGAAGATCTAATGGGCTTCTTCTTTGGCATAGGAATTGCCACCCCTTTACAGGAGAAAGCAATTGTTGTCAGTGATCTTCTAGACAACCCGATGGCGTTGGTTCAACTGAGCTGACCTTACTTAACCTAAGACAGCATCTGAAACTGTTCTTTGAGTTGTTTTAGCATCCATCCTCGGCAATGCAGGCTGGTGAGAATCAGGTCCACTTGCTAAGTTACCCCTCCGCCAAGCATGTCAACCGACCAGTTGGGGAAAATGGGGGGAGGAATGAGAACGTACAGGTTTTTGAGATTGGCCAGGTGTTTGTTCTCTTTTCCCTTTTAGTACTCTGGGGCAATCAGCAGCTTGGTATGGAATCCAGACGCTAGTCGGCGATGTGGTTGGCTGAGTAGGACGTGGAGTGTCAGAATGCGGCAAACTTTTGCTGCTTATGGAGATAATATTTACGCCTTATCAAATTGTAGTTATAATAAGCAGCCTTAGTACCCTTTCCGAGCCGTTTGTCCTTTTGTTGATTCGGGCCAGCTTCGCAAGTTTCTTTGGTCTTCGTCCCTAGGGTCCGCTGCCTTTTTCCATACACATTGTCAGTGAGGTCCACGGCACAGCAGGTCCAGGATGAGGACATAATAACGTTCATGATTTAAACCCGAAATCCTTTATCTCAATTGAAAAGAACCGCTTCTGTATTTAACTTTTATTATTACTTTGAAAAAACTTTACCCATATCCCATGGCTCCGACACATGAAGAGCAGCGCAGGCTAGCGCTCCCCACACTCCTGTCATATCTATACGTCCTAATACGCTCTTTCTGTCCTATTATCCATCACATTTATTAAGAGGCATAATAGATCACGGTATCCAGCATCCGAGTAACATAACACATCAAGATCTTGCTCCAAACTTCTCCGAGAAGCACATCACCACCGACAACGTTAATGAAAACGCCATGGGACAATTTACCACCGGGACGGTGAAACCAAGTCGTCAAGCTCAACAACTTGAAACGAGCGCATGCAGTCCGGCTGATAGAGCACCTAAAATGAAGTCATCGGGAAAGACCGCAACCCCATCAACCACACTGCTGAACGCTCAAACCCAGTCCTGGCTTCAACTTTCCAACCAGAGTTCGATGCTCCCAGCCCAACCATCTCCATTCCCAGCTGGCCTACCAAGGCTACAATCTGGAGTCTCACCAGGCGCTCTCCGAAAGACACCACCCGCACCTCACTGGCAACCTGAAGAAAGCACTCGTCTTGTTGACGGGCGGTCCAAGATCCATCCACATCCACATCCCTTTGGTTCCCCTGTGATGAAAAAACAACCTGTCGATTTTCCACAGGTTCAAAGGGAGGAGGTTCAGTTTTTCCCAAGGGCGGGGCCTGATAAGCGCCAGGCCTGGAGAAGGAGAATTCTCGAGTGTAATTAAAGGAAGTGGACCGCCTGTGCATAATTTTGAGGATCAACCACAGTTGTCGTCACTGCGCTTTTTATATCCACCGGGAGGAATTTTGCCCCAAGTTTCTAGTCCCCTTCCTTATGGTGTTGCTGTTTCTTGACGTTCACTCCTTACCTGACCATAGCCGACGGAAGTAAATAATGTCATCACCGCTCTTCAAGAATTGAAATGACAAAAGTCTATAATTCAAGTCGAATCTTTTTTTTTTTTTTTTTTTGAAAAAAGTAAATGAAAATGAAAATGAACAAACATTTTGAAAAGTGTCTTAATAAAAATTTCTTCTCTAACCACTTGTGAATGAGATCATTCTACAATAATGTACTCATTCTACAACACATTCGCAGGCGAGTTAGCCATTATGACATTGGCATAACGTAGAAAGAAACATCTGAAAATGTTTTTTTCAACTTAAAATCCTTCAACCGATCCAAAGCTCTAGTACCATTAGCCCCCCAAGTGCGGGCATGGCACGGGCAAATTCGAGTGAAATGGACGACTTTAAGGCGAAGAGCACATTGGATTAAAAGAGCCGTCCTTCTTTGTAGGAAAAAATATACTCGAAATTCGTGGGTATCAGTATAAAATGATGGTAGCTTTTGAACCAAGATTATAGAAGCTGGAAATATGAGGATGAGATCCTCTGAGCGCAGGTCATTGTGTCAATAAAGTAAGTATGGCAGGATGGGGATGTATAAAACATGCATCAAATGGAAGGAAAAGAAGGCAGCGTTGAAATAGAGCGTCTCACATGTAAGGATATTGTTTATCATAGGAAAGTAGATGAGATTATTACTCAGTACTAGGTATATAAACTTCTAGTTTCGAGCTGAAAATCGTTACTAGATCATTGATCATCTGTGTAAATTGAAATGTAAAAGAGATCATAATTCTCATTATTTTGACCAGCAGAGCAGTTGCTTGCTTAGCTAGATAAATACCACGCGACACACAACGTTATCCTAGAAAATCCGGTAGTGGAGGGGAGGCCCAACAAAACATTGATCCAAAAGAGTGTGTTTACATAACTACTGACTAATATCCCTTGCCCCAGACTCTGACGTTGCCAATTTCATCTCGGAATGCTTTATCACCAACTACTAGTAACTAGGATTCCTGACGACGTCCGCTATGTTTTCTGATTTCAGCAATGGCACGGAAATTGCCCGACTCCTACGCATCCCCAGACATTACACTCGTCAACCTCACACATCTTCTTGCTCGCCTCGAAAACAACCTCATATCTCCATCTGCAGATCTCAAACTCGTACATCGATCTCCCTACCATCGAGCTAGAGTTGGCGCTGTGAGCATACCGAGACAATTCCTACCTATACAACCCTGGCTATCTACTGACTACTTCTCAAAGAATATCGAGTACTCGCGGACCCTGCTCATGAAACTCGAACTCTCCCTTCCAAACATCAAAATCCAAGCTCGCAAACTCTCTCTCCAAACAAACCTTGCCCATAAGCGACAACAAATTAAGGCCCTTAAAGCCCGGCTAGATGAAATCACAGCCATAGCCGAAGCGGAGCCAGATACTCAGACATTCTCGTCGGACAATGAAGAAGATTTACTACCAACACCAAGCGATAGCACACCAGAAACCACATCTCCGCCGCCGCCAAAATGTGCAGATCTAGCGCCAACGAAGGAAGAAGAAACAAAATATGACGAGGAAGTAGACAAAAGCGAAGAAGGCCAGACTACCCAAGAAGGTAGACACAATCAAGAAAC